CTGGCCCCGGTGCAGTGACTTTTGGCTCTTGCAATGTATATTTTGTATTATCCACCCTAATGATATCCTGGTAGCAATTATAATTTATGGTACTCAGTAGATCATCTCTATCTAAATTTCTAACTTCCCTATCATTACCATCGGTGTGTGCTATAAATTTTTGCAAACAAACTTTATCTTTGTCAGTTGTCATGAGAATAGCGTTATCTGTGTATACAATGCCAGTTATGATAGGCCGATCCTTTCTTTGCATCGAGGAAAGGTAAAGATAATGAATACAAACCAGGAAAACAACAACGCAATCTCCCTTGGTGAAAGCAATCTCCAAGAGGCGGAGTCATATATACCTGTTTATGCAACAGTGCAGACAATGATGGGAGAAGAGATATAACAACAATACAATCAGAAAAGACAAAAGGGGCTTTTATCGCACTTGGAAAGCTTTAGTAGTCAAATAACATTCAAAATCCCATAAGGTTTAGAATATGTAACCCTAAACTCAAGTCAGTACTGCTGTATGAAGCAGACACATGAGGAACGACGAAAACCGTTACTCGTAATCTACACAACTGTGCTTCCCTAGAATAGAATTGATGTATGATATTTCTCCACCTCCCCCCCCCCCCACCCCCACCCCCACCCCTAAACCCACATCAAATAGCGTTTGTAATTACACACATTCTAGTAAATACTGAAATGAAGACAAGACAAGCGTGGCTCGTTCCTTTGCACACACCGATACAATCTGATAATAATTAGAATGACGCATTCAAGGTTCCAGTGGATCAAGAGGTGATGAAAAGTTGTTGGATGGGACACACACTGAGAAAACCGGAGAACAATATAACTAGAATGCCTTGCACTGGAACCCACAAGGGCATAGGAATAAATGAAGCCCAAAAAACACATGGAGAAAGGAGCTGGAAAGTGAAGTTAGAAAGATGAGGAGGACATGGGGAGAGCTGCATGCCATTGCAAAGGATAGAACGACTTGGCGTGAGCTGGTTGACGGGCTGTGTTTCACTTTGGGCTAGAAAGGCAGAAGAGAGAGAGAGAGAGGTGGGGGGGGGGAGAGGGAGGGAGAGAGAGAGAAAGACCTTGAATTCAGATTGCTGAAGAAATAACGGGTCTACCCCCCCCCCATCCCACCCCCGCCCCCACCCCCACCCCCAAGGCATTGAGGTCCAGGCAGTGGTAAAAAATAGGGCAATTTGGTGCAGTTGATTGAGGGCCTTTGCTGCATTGGGAATCCAATGAATAACAAACAAAGAATACAAATCATTTTTAGAGAAGTAGACATGGGGTCAGCAGTACGCGATTGAGAAGAATCTGAAAATTTGCCTGTAACGATCTAGATACAAGTTTGACATGTCCCATATGCCTAAAATCGTAAAAACGAAGCTGTTTTCTTTTACTTTACATCAGGGGTCTCCTTGGCGAAGTGGTCAAACCGTTTGCCATGCGCTCCGAAGGTCCTGGGTTCGTTTTACACCAGTGCAGTTTATAAGAAGATCCATAGGGATCATCGCTGGAGCTGTGGAATGGATGCTCTGTGCGATGCTTTCGGCCAGACGTTTTTAGAGAGAGAACGTGTTATATTGGCTAAGCCCAGTGCAATGAAAGCGATCGTTTCGACTTAACTCGACTGCACCCCTAAACAAGTGTCATCATTAGCCAAGTCAGTCATCCACCTTGAGTGACTACTCGAGGGTGTGGACAGAAGTAAAACGTAAAATGTGCCTAGAAAAAACTACAACAGCCAAAAATGCTGGGGATGGTTCTGCAACATCATGTAAAGGATACGCAACTAACTTTCTGATGATTAGTTGCTGTCCTTTACAGGGGCGTTGACACAAATTAAACACTCGAGGGGCTAAGCTTCCTTCCCTCTCCCTTTTTACCTCGCCCCTGGTTGTTTGTTTCCCTAATTCACAAACTCTAGACCAGTGGCTCATAGCCTTCCTCCTGCCGCGACCCTTTTATACGGTTCTTCATGTTGTGGCGTCACCCAACCATACAATTATTTACGTTGCCGCTTCAGTGAATATGTGTTTTACGACGGTTGAGAACCGCTGCTATAGAGTCATGAAGACGTGTACTTTCTCATTCAGTTACCATTTAGAAACCAGAAGGAAGCTACCACACTGGCTTCACAGTTGCCTTTTAGTAAAATACCATGTGGAGTAAATGCGGCCCGTGGTTATTGCTTGCCACATCGCCGTTCGAGTGCCGACCGATTGGTCTATACCCAAAACACAAAATACGGAGGCAGCACACAGTGTATGATGCTCCGGGGGCAAGCAAAGAGTATTCATCAAACGGAAGACAGAGAAAGATGGCCTGTTATATGTGCTAGTTGTTTCCATCAATACACCTCCACGACTCGAATGGATCAAGGGTTATGTTATGATATTAAAGAGTATTTTAGGTTGTTTTTTCCCCCCAAACCGTTGAAACAGTGCCATACACAAGCGCACATACACATACTCTAATAAATGCTCGAATAATTTTCAACATTTAACAACACGCCCCCCCCCCCCCCCCCCCCCCAAATTCCGTAAACATCACCCCCCCCCCCCCCCCACCCTTTCCACACACACACACACATATACTGCCAAAAAAAATTTTTTTTTGTTATGATAGACGAAAAAAGTAATTTGCCCCGTTATGAGTTATACAAATTTGCAGGGACGGTCGAACCTTGGAGCTCAGACGCCTTGACCCCCCACTCCCCCACCCAGTTTTCTGTAGGAGGACTGAACGCCCCCTCACCCATTGATAATATATGCATAGAGGCTAAGGGATTTCCCCCCCCCCCCCACCCCACTACTGTATACTCTTTAAGTATTTGATTAAACATTATTATTTCAGATATTTCCGTATGTTTATTTGCAATTCGGCACATAGTGCTGTGATTTGCGCAGATTTCTTTTTGCTAGCCGGGGGCGAATACATGCAATAATACGTTTACATCCCTGCTGGGAAGAAAACAAATTACTATTACTGTGCACTTAAACAATGCTTAGGCTGTTTGCGCCCATCCCTAGGCAATTATAAGGGGGAGCTGAAGGGCTTCCCTTTTTCTAATGATTTTTTTTTTTGTCCCGACTTTCCTTCATTGCCACATTTTTTATAGCTTGTTAGCTTACTGTTGCGCGTGTTTCTATTTGTGAATATTCTCATAATAGTGAGTGTGTGTATGTGTGTGCGCGCGCGTATGTGTGCGTGTATGTTTGTTTGTGCATGCGTGTGCGTGTATCGGTTGTGCCGCCAATACCAGAGCTTTAATTGTTATGTTTGGTATCTAGGGGAAGGCAGACGAGATGCTGGGTAATGATAACACCCAAATAAATTGTAGAGAGTGAAAAAAGATAATTACTCACAGCTGGACAGCCATGTGGTGTTTATATCCAAAGTGTTCAGCCTGGCCGTATTTGATTGTCATTAGCAGGGAGAATATAAGAGGAAAAACAAGAAGGAGATGGCCGTTGTATTCTTTTGAGGAATATCTACGAAAGTGAACCAGCATTTGAACGTTTCCTGTACCTTCCCACTGACCATCCAGTGTCTACCGCTACATTACGGCAGCTCCCGAGGCCGTAGACTGCCCCACTGTAAGACTGAGCAGGATTTTTGAGCTTTTCTCCTGTTGGATTACGGGCAGTGCTTAAATCACTGGGTGTCTTTCCTTCAGCTGCAATCCTGGATTAATTGTGGGGGGGGGGGGGGGGGGTTGTAACAAAACAAAAAAAGAAAACGCTAGGAGTTCCTAGCATTAACATTTTCTTTGAGCTTGGGTTATATTGGGTTATATTAGCAACACCCACCGTCATGCGAAAATACTCCTTCTCTCGGAGGATGTTGAACTTGAAAGTATTTAATATTGGAATCCAAAATGCTTGACAATGAGACAAAATAGGTTAAACACAATTTCTCTAAAGATGGTTAATTTAACAATATTCTTTTTTAGTATACATCAAGAAGAGTGTCATATCTCTGGTATGACCAAAACATATATGGTGACTTATGTGGTACCAACAGATCTATGCATTCATTATCATCACACACTGCTGTCTCTGCTGGTAAACAACAGCAGTAACAGATCTTCTGAAATGTTATTTTTTCCCCTGGGCCTTGACGGCGCATATTGCAAGCCTGAATACTGACAGTATCTTGGTTTAGTTGATCCATTTATATCTTTGATACTCTTAAATGCCTTTCTCCTCAATTTTTGTGTGTTCTGCACAAATGGGTGGTGAATTTATGCATGACACACTACATGTGGCTAAGGCCCTTTGGAAGCAAGGGAACAGTGTCAAGGCATGAATCAGTGATTATTGTCTGTAGAAGCGTTAAGGGGTGACCAGGGGATGTGGTCGACAGTCTACTCTCTGAGGAAAAGCCATACATATAATCCAACTGCTTATGGTATTATCGGAATTGGAACTCTTCGCTGGTTGCTGAAGATTAGGATGGAGCCCTTATGGAAATGTTCCCATTGATGGGATGTCAGTTCTTAGTTCAACACACAAAAACAACACTCCTCAATGGGTCACTGTAATCTGGTCTTCACCACAGTGACTGAATAAACACACAATGCAAATAGACATTGCTACTCGATAATACTGGACATTAGAAAACAAATTTGATTACATTGTTTCCTTCAATAGCTTGTTTGCTTGACTGACCTCACATCTTAATTGCTTTTAATTTGTATTCATATAACTGCTTTAGCTGTGTAAAGTTCCTGGTGCAATTTATCATTTTTTGTCCTATTTTTTGTCCTCATATCATAAAAAGGTAAATTATTAAGTTTCCTCAATTTGGATGTAGTGGGCTGAAAGGCACATATGGCATAGCTCAGTTGAAAACAACACCACAGTACCAACTGTTTTTTTAAGAGCAAACACATATGAAGAAGTAAAACTGATTCCTTTCTTTTAAACCAGACATAAATGTTTATATGCATATTTACATACTGTCTATAATCTTGTCCCCAGGCTGTGCAAGCACAGGAAAGCAAAAGGAGGAAGCGGCGGATTATGAAAATTGCTGTCTACTTTATGTTCGGAGTTATTGCACTTGGAGTCTTTGCTATCTGGCTCTTTCACAAGGACACCGTTGAATCCCTTCGTTTTGGCTCTGCATTCATATTCACAGTCAAACTTCGATCTTTGGAAATCAAAAATGAGAATGGAGACAGCGTCCTGTATGGGGATATGGGCCGACAGCTCTTAGCTACAGCCTATGATCATTGTTGGGATGATAAATTTGAGAGTTTTGAGGAGTCCTGCTTACATTGGCGTGATATGGCCCGGTTCAGAGTGACCAGAGATGACAACAGCACCTCCTCTTGCTACACTATCGAATGGGAAGGTATTGAGAAAGATTTCCAGGCCGAAGATTGTTTCTATCTGCAGCGTTACAATTGGTATGGTTATCTTTTGAATACCACTCCACCGTGGCCAATCTCTGGAGTTTACTTAGATGGTTTTGATTATTATGCAGAGTATCCAGAAGAACAGACAGAGAATTTAGTGCCAGTGTGGTTTGGTTCACAGGGTGTTTCTATCTTTGTGAATTCAAGCTTCCCTTTTACTATAGCATGGAATATCTCGGACAAGCGACAGTTTTGCCTCACTTCCAAGCTGGCAGCTCGATACAAACATGAGAATTTGACCCTCTTGCGTTACACAGTCTGCCAAGGGAAGTCTTTGAAAGATGTGTATAATGTTTCCAGACAGCACAGGGAAGACCTGGATACTGATTTTACTTTTAAGCAAAAACACAAACATCTGCTTCTGCCACAGCCAATCCATGCTTTGAGCACAAAATTAGACTTGCCAGAACTTCTGAATCAGATGCAAAGAAATGAATCGAGTTGCAGCCTTATTCAACTCTATGATGAATGGGAAGGAGAATTTGGTAATCTCGATGTGGAATCAACCATGGTGGACAGTATACAGACCTTGCTGACTGAAGCGAGCCATCATAATTGTTATCCAATTCTGCCTATTTCCACCTTCTTTAGCTACAAATCTCAGCATTTCAGAGAAGGCGTCAACAACAGTTACTTTGTCCGAGACAGGCAGTACCTGGTGACCAGGATGGTGAAGTGGCGAGGTCAGGAAGGTGCAGTTCTGGATGTGACAAATCCTGATGCTGAACGGTGGTTTTTAGATCTAATCAGAGGCCTGATAAAACAGCTGAATATTAAAGCACTGAAATTGTTGACCCTCAGCGTTCCTCCAGATTCCAAGTACTTTGACCGCAATATGACTCATTTGGATTACACAAGAATATTCTACAGGGACATGGCCTCACTCAACATGTCACTGGTGTTAGAACTTGCCACGGGATTTATTCCTTTGCCTGTGTACACTCCAATCCGTATGATGTTCTATGGAGAGAATGAGTCTTTTTGCCTGAACACCTCCATACCATACTCCTTGATCATGGGGATGAGTGGATTCCCACTCCTCATTGCTGATGCAGACAGAATGGCTTTAAATAGCACCACCGAAAAGATGTTCATTCGGTGGCTGCAAATGGCCATTTTCTTCCCTGTTTTAGAGATTCCAAGTATTCATTTACTCAAGAAGAAGGAAATGCAAGACAAACTGCGTGAGTTATTGAATCTTCGAAATCGAGAACTGTTACCTTATCTGACTACGGTATGGGAGAAGGAACCAGAACTTCCCATTATCCGCCCACTCTGGTGGATTGCACCAAATGACCCAAAGGCCCAGGTTATTGATGATCAGTTTCTGGTTGGGAACAACTTGCTGGTGGCACCGGTGCTGTGTGAGAATAGAGGCTTAAGGAAGAATGACTTAAGACACATTTACCTTCCAGAAGGCAGATGGGAAGGTTGTGGCATGGCTCCAATAGAGGGACCTCAAACAATTGATGTCAACACAGAGGACACTAATGTCATCCCATACTTTTGGAGGAAAGATGAAATACATGGGTGAATAGCAGCCATAATCCACAGTTGAGCAGCACTTAATCAAAAAATATAGTTTATCTTATATATTGAGCATCCATTTGTTTATGAATTACTTTATCAGTTGGGTAGAAACCAGATGTAATGCTTTAGTTAGTAAAGTAAAATTCCTTTCTCACCCCACTGGTATATTAGGCAAATGATGCTAGACCCATGTACCTTTAAAAATCAGCTGGGGGTCATTGGGTGATGTGGTCAACATGCTGATCGCTTTTACTTCCCATGGTATTTTCTGGTACATATTTCAAGCTGGGATTACCTGGATGGCTGGGCCATTTAAAAAAATGTGCCCTGATATGGATTCAAACTGAAAACTTTCTGGCTATAGGGCAGACAAACATCTAAGTGCTGTACTACAGTACCTCCATATGTGTATTATATTCTAAATTCTAAATGGCTTTAATATTACAAATATGGAAAGGAAAACCAGTACTAAACTACGGCAAGAGACAGTCGACTGAATGATTCAAGCCTACCACCAGATAGTGCACCACAGAAAGCCCTGTCACTTAGACATGGTGGAAGCAAATCTAGAGGTTGATCATGCAAGCTTCGGATAGATGGAATAAATGAGGCCATAAATACCATCATCTAATTTGCACATACAAGAGATCACACACAATGCCTCATCAAAATCTTTGTGCTGAATGGCAGGACAGGACTAAAGAACAAGAAGAAGATGGGGAGGGGATGAGAGGATTGTACATGGAATTATCTCTCTAATTCTAGCATGTGATGGTTTTGGAAAATGGTACAGGCTATAAGTTAACAGAAAATCCTCAGTTATCTGATATGTTATCCTCAGGATTCTGTTAGAATCATATTTTAGTTTTCTTCATGTGGGTTTTGCGGCAAAGTTTTTAGGAGTAAAAAGAAAAGACACACTTTCCTTCTAACAAGCATATCATGAACGGTGACTGTAGGGGTGTGTTGAAATCAGATTATGGGTTAAAAGGCACAGATTATCACTGCCTAGCTGTAAACCACAACACAATGAGCCAACACACATTTTTAAGAATGAACACAGAGGACAGAAAAGATATTCCAGTTGGTTTGACATTAATACACTTACCATATACTATACAGGGTGTATCAGGTTGAGATGTGTTTATATTAATAATTTGAACAAACATTTAACAGCAGGAATCATTTTTACGAGTGCTGATATTTATATAGGTGGGTTTAGCAAACATTGAATAGGATAGATGAGGTTCAATGCTGATTATGTTTATACATTTTACCAAACACTTGATAGCTGAAATGTATTTCTCAGTTTTTGTTAAATTTTTAATTTCACCAAACATTAGACAAAATGGATAATAGTTAAAATCTTTATTGTTCACAACTCACAAAATGAGAAGTTGATAAATCACATCTCCTTTTTTTCTTTTTTTTTAAGTATAAGTTTATCATGAAAGGCAGGATGAACAACATTTTTTTGTAATTAACATTGCTTAAGTTTACCATATATTATCAACGTTGTTGCCACCTTTTAGTTTGCTTTTTTTCTTTTTTTAAGTATAAGTTTATCATGATAGGCAGGATGAACAACATTTTTTTTGTAATTAACATTTCTTAAGTTTACCATATATTATCAACGTTGTTGCCACCTTTTAGTTTGGTTTTTTTCTTTTTTAAGTATAAGTTTATCATGATAGGCAGGATGAACACCATTTTTTGTAATTAACATTTCTTAAGTTTACCATATATTATCAACGTTGTTGCCACCTTTTAAGTTGCTTTTTTTTCCTTCAGGTGATAATGTTCCATTCTGTCTGAACTGAACCACTGTTGTCATATGTATTTGACACTCACCTATTACCCTGTCTTCAATCCTTTTCTTCTTTGTACCTATTACCCTGGCTGATTTCCCCCTCCATGGTTTGCAGTTCATGGCATACTGTTCCTATGAATCCACCTCAAAACCTGTATCCTTCATGTTCTGCATGCACACATCATTCAATAATAGTTTACATTCATCAATGTTTACAAAATAGTGTACAGGATTTTGTGTTTATTTATTAAACAAAAGGGTACCTGAGGATTATTATTGTTGCCTTGTTTAAGATCAGGGTTTCCTGTGTGGGTTTCGGGGGCCCTATTATGGCGAAAACAACAATAGACCCACAGTCTCACTTGAAAAATATGAGTCGACATACTGGAGGCTTCCTTCAGAGTTGAAGTGCATGTGCCAGAAAGGCAAAGATTCAACAACAGTGTGCATTCACATTAAGCCAGATTTGAAAAATGGAGGTTCGCGCAAAACTTAAGTTCTGGAACACAACTTAAGTCTGGAGGTGAACAAACAACCAGGACTTTTCGCTGGAGTTTTTGTGAACCTGAAAAAAGGAGAAGAAGAAGACCGGTAATAGATGAGCTATTTATTGAAGTGTTATTTGTTCTAAATGATTTTTTTCCTTGCTCAATAATTGTGTTTTTTCATTTAAGGATTATTATTTTAAACAATTACTGCAGTAAATGTTTTTTTTTTTTTTAATTTTTTGGATCTGGTTAAGAAGCACAAATTTGTAAATGTGTCCATATTACCGGGATTTCAGTTGTATATAAATTAAACTGCTTGTTATGCTTCATACAAGGCGATATGAAATGTGCAACTGGTTTTTCACCCACACAGTTCTATTCATGCTGTGTTAGGTTTAATATTAGGTTTCAAAGTTTAGGTTTAAACAATAGATTATCATCATGGCACAAGGGCAGTAACCCATAAGTGCTCCGTTCTACTTCTAACTCAAGCCCGAGTCTGAAGAATCTCAGCGCAGTGAACAAACTCTGTAGCACCAGTATATAACCCATCTATGTCCTACAAAGTTGTTTACGACCACTTTTTGTCCCAGATGTTATAAATCTAACTCTATTAGCTTTTGAAAATTCAGAATTGCATGCCGTTTGATGATTACAACAAAAAAGAAATAAACATGAGAATATTACTTTCAAGCTGGCAAAAATTATCGTGCAATTTGTGAAATATTTAGTCACATTTTAAAATTATAATTATTATCATTGTTGTTGTTGTTATTATTATTATTATACTCAGACAAAATGTAAAGGATCACACTTTGGGTTGATTTGTACGATCTCACTACCCAGGGACCAGGGGGAATTACTAGTAGTCCAAGTCCACATGAAAAAATCACAGCCCTTACCATGGATTAAACGCGGGACCTCTAGCACTCGAGGCGGACACCATGCCTGCACACCATGCAGCCCCCAGGTGATACTGAAAGAGTTCTGATAGTAGATTGGGGAACTTACGGAGATATATGGGCTAAATTAAAGTGACTTTGTTTACCCTTGGTACTGAAAGAGTTTTGAAAGTAGATTGGGGCACTTACAGAGAAATTTGGGTAAAATTAAATTGATTTGGTTTACCTCAGCTGGATATCCCTTACAGCAGGCATATCAAACTGGTAGCCCACTGGCCACATGCGACCCTTTGATTGCAAACCTGCGGCCTGCACAAAAGAACTATTCTGCAGTTATTTATATTAAATTACTTCAAGCAGTTATCATATGAAGCTCTCATGAGGACACAAATATGACCCGTATGGCCCTTAGTGGACCCTCGTCTTGACATGCTTTACAGTATGTTACAAACCAAACCCAGTATTTGTTGGCTGTTTGTTTTATCCATAAGTTTCTGAAAATATCTTCTGGATACAAATCATTGTAAGAAAAGGGAGATATTTGCAGTTACCCATGAATTCATGACTGCCTTTCTTTATGTTGAAGACATTTTTAAAACTAGAAAAGAACTTATTTTTCCATTACAGTTTCATATATATCTACATTTGCGTTATTGGTCATATACGTTGTCAACTATTCAGCATTTGGTTGTTTTACACATATTGAAATGACAATCTTCAATATCAGACTATCATCTTTTGTATGTAATAGTAAATTAATTATGTTTTACATTCTATATTCAGACAAAGAACAACCCTTTTTTTTTTTGCTCTGGTGTATGTGTTTTTTTTAAAATTTAATAATCTATTTTATGTCAGTACCAATGCTTCATATAAGGTGAGTCGTGTGAGAAGAGCTATCAGTGTAACCAAAAGAGATAGACTTAAATTGACACACCAGGAGCAACGCCATGCTCTAAGACATTGAAAGACAGAAAACTAGGTGGTTTTATCATCTAATTCTTCACACAAAGTCTTTTACTGTTTGAGTACCACATGGTTTTACAGGGTATTGCTCATATGCATATGTACCTACCCGAAAAACAAATGAGTTTATTACTTTCAGAAAGCTAAATACTTGAAAAGCCATATTTCTTAAGATTGCTCTTAACAAAATATAAAATATACAAAAATATGTAACATGTTTGGTGGGATTCACAGAAAGCTTATCGCATATCAAGTGTTTTAGGGACTTGAAGAGTTAAAGGGTTGGCACATTATGTTGTGGTTTACAGCTAGGCGACAGTATATGTGCCTTTCAGACCAACTGATTTCAGTAAACCCCTGATTACTAGCTTTTATAAACATGCTTATGGGGGAGGGACCTGGAATCCACACAGTGTGGTCAATTAGTAAGCGTGAAGTTTCTGAAGCTCTACATCTGTGTCTACACATGTAGGAGAATTGGTTAACAGAGCACCAAGCAGACCAGAGAGCAGATTGATTGCCAGCATCAACACCATCTTACAATGAAATTAGCCAGAGCAACACAGTAAATAAACTGATTTTCTTTTAACACCTAATTTGAAATCTGAAGCAACAAATGAAACAGAACAGTGCTTCTGTTTGGTCTTTTTGTTAGTTCTCACTGTTTAATTTATTTGGCAGGAGTTTCTGCATTATCAACAGTTTTGGTTAGCATCATTATATCATTTATCTTGAGAACCAACTTTTTTTAAAGGGTAGACATTAGATTGTGTTTGTTGTAATGGACTTGTATTTACAGATTAGTGAACCACAGCTATGTCTGCACAACACTGAGGGA